AATTAACTACCAAAAAAGGATAACTTCGAAATAATGTTGGTGAAGATTTGTCGGTGAAATGATTGTCGGTGAAATGACTGTCGACGAAATGATTGCCTCCCTAGTAAAAATATATAAAACCGACTGCGAATATACGACTACGCCTAATCGACACAAACACGGATGAGGCCGCGTTAGAGCTAAACTGGAGAATATTTTTTAGTCAATGCTTGCGACAACCGAACGTAATATCCATGCCAAGTTGCCATTTTCTTGATTTTTAACTCATTTTGTGCGCAATTTAATATTGCGTTTTGCTAAATCATTCATGAAATTACGTGTACTTGGTAACATTTGTAATTACAATGCCATGATTTGTGTTTTTATATTCGCCAAACATTTTACATAAAAATTATGCAGGTTGTATATGATAATTTGAGAATAGTCTCGATTAGCAGCTTTATCATTCTTCAAATTCTGCGGATAAAGAACGCGGATCGCCACCAGCCTAATACTAATTGGCTTGTGACCTGCAGTATTCATGCAGGGTTGTGACTGACTACGTAATACTACAGGTTAATGGAGCGGTTATCCACATGTATATACAGGTAATTATGTAGTTGAGATTAGCATAATCATTCGAATAACACATGTAACTGCGGTACGTAATGCCAGTTTGGGTAACGATACTCTTGAATCATTGTCGATCCATGCTTTTAGGACTTTTATACTTCGATCTAGTCCTTCGTGCAACACATTTTACCATTTTCGATCATCTTCAGATGTTCTGGTTACCCGCATCCTGTCCCCAAATCTGTACGACGTTACAATACCATTTACACCCCCCCCATCCCCTAATTGTGTTATAAGAAACAATTCTCTCCTTGTTATTCCAGATTATACACGACAACGTTTCTTACGTTCGTCGCATAAAATTTTTTATTTCGATTGGATACTATGGAAGAAGACTCAGCAAGCGGTGCTGAGACACCACAGAATAGTGGAGGGACTGCTTCATTAGCTCCTGTGTTCGAACCTATATTATTACAAGAATATCTGGACAAACTTTTGCCTCTGTTACTCGGGGCAGAAGAGAAAGAACTTGACGCTTTATGGCCTATTGACGAAAATGTAAAACTGTTACGAAAGTTTGCAAATGATACGTCAGTAGACGCTATTTATTTATCAAAGATACTGGGTATGTGAAACAACCATTTGGCTATGATTATTGCGAGTAACGGTAGGCTGCGCGTCTACCGTGTACTATTTCGTGAAATTGTGTTAGATAATAATGATTTTGCCAGTAAAGTAATCGATCCAGCAAAAATTCTTCATCTAACAAACTTTATCATCAACCTTTCATTTTCTTCCAACGCCTATCCTCTTTTCTGTATTTTTCCAGATGATCCGTCCATTCCTTCTCACAAGTATACGTTGAGTCAAGAAATATCATATGGCCCAAACTATGTTGCTTCTATTGCCTTAATAAAAGAAGTGCCATCACTCGATCCTGCCCGTCCTCTTGGCACTCAAATCCAAATAACTAACCTCCCTGGGCCTGCGGCTACAGAATCC